GTGCAGCAGCGAGGCCCCAGCGAGGCCCCAGCGAGGCCCCAGCGAGGCCCCAGCGTGCAGCAGCGAGACCCCAGCGAGGCCCCAGCATGCAGCAGTGAGGCTCTGCTGGTGGAAAGCAGGAGCCTGCATGCTGTGTCCAAGCAGGGGTACAACCGCCAAAAGGCAGATGCAAGCCCATGTCTGCCTTCGGTGGAATGGACACCACTCAGCCTCCGGAAGGAGATCCTGACACCTGCTACCACATGGGCGAACCCCAAGGGCCCTGTGCTCAGTGAACAGACCAAGCTGGACACAGGAGGAGCGGTCACAGGCGGCCCCCAGAGCCGACGCACGCAGCCAGGGCCCCCCCCCCACCCGGAGCCGACACACGCAGCCAGGGCCCCGCCCAACTAAGGGAGGCTGTGGGGCAGAGGGGTGGGCCCGGGGCCCCCTGAGCCTTGGGGACAGTGCAACAGTGAGCCCCTTCCTGGGAGCCAGAGAAGCTGTGGGTCCAGGCGGCCTCACAGAGGACGGGGGCTCTGGGCACAAACGTCTACGCGTGGAGCCCTAAGGGCCTGTCGGCTCAGAGTCAGTCGAACCTGCTGTCTGCACACATGAAGGTCCAGGACATTACATTTCCCAGAACCCTAGAAGGAGCCAAACGTCCCCACCCCTCCGGAGGCAGTGTGAGGTCTACAGTCTGTCCTGTTCACTCCCAAGGAGAACCGACGGCTTAATTTGGAGAAATTCCTTAGTGGGGTGAGTGGCTTGGGGGCCACAGGAGCACAGAAAGCACAACCCACTGAGGTGACCTCTGCCGACCGACGGCCTGGGCAGCACAGACAGAACCACACCTCCCACAGGGAGGCTTCTTGGAAGGCACGTTTGTCTTGCCAAAGAACTTTTTAGCTCATTAACGCAACACATTATAATAAATTTTAATGCTTAGTTTTTGCTATTAAAATTCAGGAAGTGGTCTACGTAATAAAATAGGAATAAACGGGACAGTTTCTGGTCCTGCTGCGCCTCCACTCTCCGGCCGCTCACCATGGCGAAGGGACGAGATGCTAATTAACCAGCCCGGTGGAGACAGGATCCCCACGAACACTGACTTCGGTACTGTGGTCACGTTACTGATTTTCAAACAGTCAGCATGCAGTAGGCCACATTTAATACTAAAGGACCCTGGAAATGATTTAATAGAAGCCAATTCGGTTATAAAATCCAGGGATTCTCAGTTTTTCCTGCTCATATCCTCATTTTGCATCTGTCTCCTCCTCTTAAGCTGAGCAACATCCTGGCCCACCCGGGCAGATGGGGGCAGAGAGTCTCTGTTGTCCTTTCAGAGTGTCCTGCACACGACCCAGTTCTCTGAGTGACGTCGCCAAGGGAGCCGGGGTTAAGCCCTGGACGGGTTAGAGGGTTTGCTGAGCTCCCAGCACAGTGGCCTCATTCCCAGCCCGAGAGAGGCTTACAGCGGCTTCTGAAAATTGACCCAGTGAACTCGTACACAGACGGCCACGGGCCCAGGCCAGGCAGCAGGGCCGGAGGGCCAAGACCCACCCTCCTCCCCGCATCCCGCCCTGACGTGAAGGCAGACAGACCCAGGCCTCTGGCCCATCTGAGCAGAAGAGCCAGCGTTCAGCTGAGCGCAGAACGGAGGAGCCCCCTACGTAGCTCTGAATGGGGCCCGTGACAGGCTCTCCTGGGGACGGCATGCTTTTGCAAACAGCCTCATGGCCGTGCCGGCACATCGGAGGGCTGAGCCAGGCTGGGGGGCAGGGTGGGGGTGGGGCGCACAGATGGAGAAAGGGCCGTGTGACTACTGCTGAGTAGTAAGCGGCCGAGCTGGGATTCAGGCCTATGTAATCGAATTCCAAAACTGATGCTCTTCGGCCAGCCTGCAGGCAGGGGTACGGGCCATGAGGTGCAGCCCGCAGGTGGGATGACCCTCCAGGGCACGTTCATCCACAGGACTCAGGACTGAGGCTGGCCCCTCTGCTCCCCAGGACCCCTGAGCCTCCCCGAAGTGCTGCCTGGCTCCTCCCCTGGACCACCTCGCTTGAGCTGGGCTACGAACAACCTGTTTCCCTGTGTTTGGAGGGGAAACCGGTCACACCAGCTTCTCAGGATGCCAGTCTGTGCATTCACGGGTGTTGGCTCATGACTCGGTGCGCTCTCCCGCGGCGGTGCTCCCCGTGTTCCTGAGGTCGGACAGCACCGTCAGCACCAGGGAGCTGCAGGCGCAGGAGGCCTCTTCCTGGGTTTGAGTGGGGACGACCGGAAAAGGCCACCTGGCATCCCCATGGCTGGCGTGAGCTGCCAGGTCTGCGCGTGCAGGGCCGAGTTGAGTGCGTACAGGCATCGCATGCGTGCTGATGTTCCAGAACACGACTCTGAACCTGGGGTGTCACCACCGGCCCAGGGCAGTGGCCAGTGCGGGCCGTGCTGAGGCTCCGTCGTCTGCTTCACAGGTGTCAGCCCGCTCCTTGCTCACCGGAGACCCTGGCCAGCCACGCAGGCCGCCTCCGCTGCAAACGGATGGATCTTCTATGGAGCTGCTTCTGCTGAGTTTTAGGGATCCTTGATGTGTTAGTTACATGATCACAGACACCTTCCCCAAAACTGCAGCTTCTCTTTTTACTTCGCTTACGATCTTGTGTCAAAATCAATTTTTCATTTTAATGTAATTAAAATTATCAAGCACATCTTTCATAGAATTTCGTTCAAAAACTTCCTCCATACTCGGCAATCGTGAAACCGTTGTACATCTTATTTTCTCGGGTCCAAGTTTTGCTTTTTCACCTACGTCTTTAATTCATCTGGAATAGAACTAAGGGTCTAATTTTGTTTCCTTCCACGCAGAGCTGTCCCAAAATGAGGCTGTAGATGACCTATCTCCCGTACCAGTTCCCACAGACTTACGGACAAGCAGACTGATTTCTGGGCTCCACGCTGTGCTGTCCATCCCTGACCGGACACCACACTGTTCCCACAATCACAGCATCAGGACACACCCCCAGGATTCCTTCCAGCCTGCGTGGCTCCACTCTGCCCTCGAGTATCTCAGTTAGGCCCTCCCTGCATCCGAGAGAACCCCTAGCTCGTCAAGATCCCAGCGGCTGCTGGCTGGGCGAGTGTGGCCGTCTGTGCACGCACACCCGCGAGGTCAGCCGCACGGCTGGGATCTTGTATCGGAAGCTGATGGGTGTTTATTCCTCTGTTTTCTGCAACACTGATAAAGAAATGATCTGTTCCTCTGAGGTTCGATGCAACCCTGCCTGTCTGCCCACAGGTCATCTCAGACATTCTAGGTTCCCTCAGATCAGCTTTGTTAGGCGGTGTTTTTCTCAGTTTTCCATCTGGCCACTTCATTTTATTCATATTCTCTTGGAGTTCTTAAAAGTCTCTACAGATTTCCAAATTACAGCACCCTTTCCGTTTCTAAATACCTTACCCGCTTTTTCTGTCAGTCCTGCCTGTTCTGTCAGTTTTTCCAATGAACCTGCTTTCGTCTCTGCTCATCTTTCTGACAGCTTATGCTCCGTGTTGCTGGTCCTCACCGTGTTGTCCGTGTCTCTCTGTGTGTGTGAGCACGAACCGCGTGAACCTGCAAAGCCGCCTCCAGGGAGAAGGGGGCCGGGCGGCACTGGCCGAGGTTCTAGTCTACGCTCCGCGCCACCTCAACTTCTCGCGGGAGGACCTGGCAGCGCATCTCTCTGTGTAACACGGAAAGAAAGAAGTCAAAGCGGGACACTGGCGCTGGGACCACCCGGCTTGTGGGCCGATGAGCAGCGCCTCCCGTCCCCTTCCATCCTGGCAGTTTCATTTACTGGTTTTGAATCGAGGCGTGTTTGTACTGCAGTTGGGTTCAACAGCACCTCGTGATGACAGGAAATGACATTTTACGGGCTAAAAAGGGTCAGTCTGGAGCCCCTCTGGTTCTCTAAGTCATGCTTACCGCCCCTGACACCTGTCCTACCCATCTGTGACGCGGTGCGCGTGGTGGCAGCTGCTGCCGCCGTGGGATGGTGCCAGGGCCTCTCACGCTCCCCTCACGGTTGTTCCCCAGCCCCCAGAGCAACACTGGGATGCGGCAGGTTCTCAACAGCTCTTTGCAGACCAGAACTGAATTGATCCAGGATACAAACACTCCTAACTCAGTCTCTGGACGCGGCGCCGTCACCACTTCATCCTGCCCCTGCTTCCTTGCCATTCCCGCGCCCACGGCTCAGGCCCCTGCAGGGGAGCCGGGACGCCGAGTGCTCACGCCTTCCTCGAAGGCGGCCCATCCAGGCGGGCCGCTGCTGTGGGTGCCTGTGCCCTCAGGAATGGCGGCCCGGAGCGTGAGGAGGCCCCGTCTAAATGCTTCCTTTCTGTCATGGTGCCACTCTGGCTCACGCTTCCGTGAGACCTATGCCAAGGTCTGACAGCCGTGGGGTCGAGGCCTCAAGTGTCCTCATCTGTAAGATGGATTCAGTAGTTGGGCCGTGCGGCATGGCTGTTCTGGCACCGACATGTGCCGTGTGCCACGGGGCTGAAACCACAGTGCACACCCCGCCAGAGTCGGCACGGGGCTGCCGGGGCCACGGCCAGCTCTCCTGGGTGACGCGGGGCGGCCCCAGCCCAACTCCAGGGGCATGCCCATCCGCGCCCCAGGCCAGGCGTGAGGCTGTGAGTGGTCGCCCCAACCGTCCTGGCTGTGGAGGGCACAGGTCTTCCCCAAGCGATCTCCATCTAATCTGCGCGTCACCAAAACCAGTGGTTTTTATTAACCGATAAAATGACGATTAACTTGTAATTAATTTTAAAACAGTTAATATTTGTTAATAAAAAGAAAAGTAAAAATGTGCGCAAAGAATTATTTTCACCCCATAACAGTAACAGTACCAGTGGACAACTACTCTTAGGATGATTCCCAAACTTGAGAGCAAGTCTGTGCACGGAGCCAAGTGGCCCTCCCTCAGATCCTGGGACGAGCAGGCCCCGCGCTGAGGTCCCATGAGTCTCCCCACGACAGTTCAGGTTGGGAACTGGGGCCGGGCACCCGACATGGGAATTTCAAGCTCTAAGACACAGCATGAAGAAAATGCAACCAGGGCCAGAACTGCCCGGCTGCTCAGCTGGAGCCCATCACCCTAAATCCTTCTCTTCCCTTTAACTCCCATTCCGTCCTGATGAAATCCCTCCTCCTCAGCTGAGCCACCACGAGGGCAGCAGAGACGGGACGGGGAAGGCCCACAGCAGGGACGGTCCACATACCCGGCAGTATTCTTCCCACGAGAGCATCTAACAGCCAGAAGGACTCTTCCTCACTCTTCGTTACGAGGATCAGATATCCCGCTATGAAGTTCATTCCCTGAAGTGAGAAAATGAGTTTTAAGCCACCTCAAGATTCTGCAGACCTCGGGTTGCTCCCCACGAACTGCATTTCCCTTGCTCTCCCCCAAAATCCGCACCATCCAGGGGTGGCCTTTCAGTGATGCATTCGGCACGAAGAGGGAGAAACACAACACAGTGTGAGGAAGCTCTTGGGGCTCAGCCGGGAAACCTACAGACTCCACTCCCACCTTCAGCCTCGTGACGACACACGACACACAGCCAGTTCCTACAACAGTCTGAGGGCACAGCTGCATCAGGAAACCAGACCCGTGGCTGAACTTCACCAGGAACGTGGCCTGACACGTGGGGTGTGGACAGATTCTAGATGGAGATGGAGGGGGACATTCACGGTGCATGCGAGCGACAGGCGCGGGGCTCACCCACTGCCGGGGAGCGTCTGCACGACTGCGCCTTCTGCGTCCTCCTCATTCTCCTTTAGGGCGTCTGTTTTTCTAAGCTGCATGTGCCCTCCTCCGGTAACGGGGGCACAGCCAGCAAGACGAATCTGGACACGCAGACACCACGCAGGGAGAGGCCACACACGCCAGGGACCGCCAGAGGCCACCAGAGGCCGGGGGCCTGGAGCAGACCCTCCCGCGGGCCACCGAGGGCCCCCGCCTGCGACCGTGCCCGAACAGACTCCTGGTGTCACCCTCGTGGCCACACACCTCGTCCTGCGGCCCACGTGCAGTCTCACAAATACGCACCCGAGCTCTGGCATCGTGCCAAGCTTAAAGCTGTATAGGCTGTTTTTTTAAAGCTGTTTTTAAAACCTGCAAGAGGGGCACCTGGGTGGCTCAGTCGTTAAGCGTCCGCCTTCAGCTCAGGTCAAGATCTCAGGGTCCTGGGATTGAGCCCCGCATCGGGCTCCCTGCTCGGCTGGGAGTCCGCTTCTCCCTCTGCTCCTCCCCCTGCTTGTGCTCACTCTCTCTCTCAAATAAATAAAATCTTAAAAAAAAAAAAAAGCTGCAAGAACGGTAACTAGAATATGTAAAGGCAGTTTCTGGACCACGCGGCCTCCTCAGCTCCTCCAGGCCAGTCTGCATCCAGGACCCTAAGTTAGAAAGGCAACAGAAGCCCAGCCCAGCCTCCTCTGCTGTGGCACGGCCTGCAGGTACCACAGCAACCTCAAAGAGCCTGGCGCAGTGGTCCGCGAACAGTGCTCTACGGTACGCACCGCTGCCGCCAGTCTCTGCAGAAGGACCTGCCCCCTCCCACCTCTGCAGCCGCTGCCCTCGCCCCCACCCCCACCCCCAGCCCACCGAGTTCCTGGAGCCTCGCCCACGAGGGTCAGATGCAAACTTCCCATCTGTGAGTCCCAGCGTCCCCAGGGAACCACAGAAGCAGGAGCTCGGGAAGCGGGAAGCCGCTCCCGCCGTGGGCCGCAGGCAGGACGTGCGGTGCCGACACGTGGGGAGTGCGTGCGCGGGCCGCTCACACGCCCCAACAGCACAGGCCCACACGGGAAGGCCCACCTGTCCCACGCAGGTGCACAGAGAGCACTCGGGCCCTTCTCTCTTTCCCTCCCCCCGCCCCAGGCAGAGTGACGTCCGGAAGGAACGAGGAATGATTCGTCTACACGTGATGTGCTGCTTCCTGCAGCAAATCCACACAAGGTGACAAAAATCGACAGGTAATGAGGCTTGCTGTTACCTGCAAATGCAGGAAGATCTGACTTCCAGAAATGATGTGGAAGGAACTCCCCATCACATCACGTGTGCATGCACACACACATGCACACACATGCATATACGCAGGCGCAGACATGCACGCATGCACACACAGACATGCACACGCACTCTCTGCACTGAGGCCAGGAGGTGCTGGTCACTCGTGCCAGTAACGACAGCCCTGCTCACACAAGTGAGTTCCTGCCTGCTTCCCAGCCTCACCCCTCCCTACGGTCTGGCACCAAAAGAAATCCTAAGTAGATGTTGTACTGCTTCTCTACCTGGAAAACATTTCAACGTCACAGCCCTGCGTCTGGGGCTCATGAACGGGACCGAACACTTGGCCTTCACCAGGAGAACGCCCCTGCTATAGATCACGCTCACCTTCCCCACTGGCATGTGCTATAATTTCCTGGCACTTACCTGGCAATAGCCCACACCTTGGTTGTGGCGCCCATAGGCCAGGAGCACGTTATACAGTGTCTTTTGTAAGCAGGGATCGGCACTCTTCCGGAATTTAATGTTGTCCGGGAAAGTCCTGTTCATATCTGCAGGGAAATTCACGACACGGAATTATCCAGATGGTGGGGACGGAAGACTGGCCTATGATGTACAAAGTAGTCCTTGTGTCTACCCCTGACGAGGTCTAAAACCCCGCCTAGCGACCCTGGCCACCCTTCACGGGCAACGGGGCCACAGTAACAGGAGTCAGGATGGAAGACAAAGGTGTTGGCGGGCTCTCCCGCCCTGTCCAGCTACAGCCCCAGGGCCCTGGCAGCCCCAACAGCACATTCTCTCCAAGGTCGCTTCTCCCGCCACGTGGCCCCCGCCTCTGCTCAAGGTCCTCGGCCCTGCATCTGCACCACCACCCCCAATGTCACCCCTTGGCCAGGGAGGGCGCTCAACTGTAGGACCCCAGGCAACAGGTGAACTCTTGTTCACAACACTGGAAAATCTTCCCAATTCTGAAGATAGAAAACACACTGAGAATCCCTTTCAGATATAAAGGACGAGACTGAACACAGAGGTGAATAAACCCGGCCGGCCTCTCTCTGCCCGTCAGACACCCTGGTCCGCCTTTTCTGCACCAGCGCCGACAGGCCAGGCCCCACGCGGACCCGACACCTGGCTCATACGTGTTAGCCTGCGGAAGGCTGGAAGGAAGGAGGGTCTGTGTCTGTCTTCTGAACCCACTGAGCTCACTTAGATGAGATTAGTGGTGTGTTCGCTGCCACTAGGTGTGACTACCAGAACGGACCGGACACGCCGGACCCTCAGCTCCCCGCCCCGCCACTGGGTGAGGCGCCTCTGGGCCGGCCTCTACTCGCACCTGCGTCCCCAGCACTGAGGGGACAGTGCTTCTGTCCCTACCTATGGCGCCTGTGCTGAACCTCCGCTGACCAGAGAACAGACCTGAGCTGAACAGTAAGCTTTAGTGCCTCAAAGCACATTATTTTTCATTGTATGTTTGTTTACAAGAAAGTTTTTTTCCTGGAATTCTCAACATTCCAGAGGAGAAAATTACTGTTTTTACTAATTCAGACTCTGGAGTGACCAGCTGTGCTCATCTTACACACTGTCTTTTCGGAGGAGTTTTCCACATGTCTCGAAACGGCCCCTGCCCCCACCATGGAAGGAGGTGTGGACAGGGACGTCCAGGCTCTGCTCACACGCAGCGTGAATGTTCCACCCTCTGTCCCCGTAAAGTGATTTCTCCAGGTCCCTCAAAAAACCGGACTTAGAACGATCACGTGACCCAGCAGTCCCACTGCGGGCACATCCCCAGAAGAACCGAAACCAGGGTCTCCAAGAAATCTCTGGACACCGGTTCCTGACAGCAGACTCACACAGGCAGGAGCCAACCAGGGTGCCCATCACCGGCAGAAGAGAGACCTTGGACGGAGTCTGTCCTGACAGCCAAACGGTGCTCAGCCCTAAGGAGAAGACCCTGACACGTGCAACAATACTGACCACGCTGAGCCAAGTAAGCCAGACACAAAAGCACAAATTCTGCATGATGTCACTTACCTGAGACAGAGAGGAGGCCGCCGCCTCGGGGGCGGGGAAGTCGTTGGTGTTTAAGGGGGACAGAGTTTCAGTTTGGAAAGATGGAACAGTAAATTCTGTTATGTATATTTTACAATAAAAAATTGTTACCCAAAAATGCCGGCACTAAACAGAACCTTTAAATTCACTTTTCAAACGAATAGCAACATTCTGTTTTATCTGATATGCATGGCCTCCCTTGGACCCCAGGCCTCCCCCAACCTGAGGCAGCCCAGCGGCCCCTCCTCCCCCAGGTTCCCCTGCTGGGGCTGCCTCGAGGGCCGAGGGACCCCCCTTCCTTAGGCTGGGGACACACCTCAATTTCACTCCATCAGGGAGCCCCACCTCTCAGCACATTCAAGTAATTGGGTTTTAAAGAATTATTTTGTGGGTCACCTGGGTGGCCCAGTCGGTTAAGCGTCTGCCTTCAGCTCAGGTCATGATCCCAGGGTCCTGGGATCAAGCCCCGCATCGGGCTCCCTGCTCGGCGGGAAGCCTGCTTCTCCCTCTGCCCCCGAGGCTCCCCCCACTCACGCGTGCATGCTCTCTCTCTCAAATAAAATCTTTTTAAATTTTTAAAAAAATAAAAATAGGGGCGCCTGGGTGGCCCAGATGGTAAAGCGTCTGCCTTCGGCTCAGGTCATGATCCCAGGGTCCTGTGGGATCGAGCCCCACATCCGGCTCCCTGCTCAGCGGGAAGCCTGCTTCTCCCTCTGCCTCTGCCTCTCCCCCTCCTCATGCTCTCTCTATATATATCTCTGTCTCAACTGAATGAACAAAATCTTTAAAAAAAATTTTTTTTAAGTATTTTGTGTTTAAGTTTGTATTTCTCAAAAACAAAATCAGAAAGGCAGATATTTTCTCAAAATCTAATTATTCAGTTTAGGTTATATATTTATTTGGGGCACTTCAGACATTTAAGAGCTGGTGAGCCTATGTGTCCACTGAGAAAATCTGGGGATCCGTCAGCACCCCAAATGACGACGGGAGTTTGACACCGAGGTGGGCAGCCATGGTGTGCAGCGTCAGGACATGCGGGTCACCGTGTCTGTAAGCCCAAGGGCGCTGCCATCAGCACAAATCCCTCACAGGGATTACCCTCCGCGTCCTGATCGCTGGCTCAGCAGCCTGCGCACCCGCCTCGGGTTCTTCACAGAAGAAACCTGGTCCTTCCCTCACCCACGTCTGTGCTGGCTGGCTGAAGCAATTAAAAGCACTGTTCTCCCCTCATGAATGCTTAAGCTTTGATTTTCCTTTAAGAAAAATAAAATTTCGACTTAAAAACAGCAGGTGCCTCTTGAACAACGTGCATTTCCTCTTCAGCATTACAATTCCAGGGAGCTGCCCGGGCGGCTCACCTGTCCTGATGGCCTCCGCCAGCCTGTCGTTCCGCTCTCCCTGGAGGAGTCGGTGGTAGTAGCCGGGGTTCCGGTCCATCTGGGCCTGGGCTCCACTCACCCCCATCCAGACGCAGGCCCGGTGCTCGAGGGGGACGCCCTTCCGGATATAGCGCTTCACTGAAACACAGAGAAGGGGCTGCTTCAGAGGGACAGACACGCGCTGCCTGGGCTCAGAGGCCTTGGGGCCGAGGACACTGACTTCCGTGCGTGCAGCTCGCGTCTCCCCACGTCCGCCAGGAGAACACTGGTACACGCACACCCGTCACAGAACCTGCTCCCCGTCCCGCACTGTAACAGGCAGGGAGGTGACACAGGCAGCCCCCGGGCCTCCCTCACCACCAGCGTGGACTGCACCGGACGCCACGGGCCGGGCCCCAAGCTCCGGGTCAGGGCCCCACAGGCCAGGGTCCACACACAGGAGGAGAGACCGGGAAAGCTGGAGGGAGAGAGGCCACACTGAGTGAAGGCACAGCGGCGGGAAGAGGCCCTTGCTGGTCGGGGAGCAGCGAGGGTCTGAGGGACAGCTGTGGGCAGGGACAGCAGCTCAGGTGCGTGGTCCAGCCCTGGGGTGACCAGCAAACGGGACCGAGGTCAGATGGGGCTCGGGGTGGCTCTCTGCAGCCGCACAGAGGACGAGCGTGGGGCAGAGCCCGGGAGGAGGCCCAGCAGGTTTCGGGGCTGGGGTCTGTGTGGCCCCTCTGGCTGGGGGACTCAGCGGCAGGTCACTGTCCTGTTCTACACCTTATCTGTGTAAGCGGAGAACTACTTTGGGAGAAATATTTTTATTGATAATAAATATGTGAAAAAGTAATCATTTTCTAACGACCATAGAAACATATAGGAGAAGCAGCCAAAAACCACGAGCTACCTCAATGCATCACTAATTTCCCAGGCAGCTGGGAAAGATTTGTGAGACTAACATTCAAATGAATTACAGTAAGCCCTGGGGCACCACATTATGCTTTTAATGACCTTAATTTAACCCTCAAAACAGCTCATTTTCAAAGGAAATTTTCAAAGCTTTGTTGTTTTCCTTTCATATATTTAAGTACCACTCTTAAAAAAGAAACGCACTTTAAAAATACATAAAATAAAAAGAAATGACTTTAAGAAAAAATAAAAGGTCATACAATGAAAGAAGTTCCACAATCTGCTATAAGAAAAAAAAACATCTGAGGCATCAGCGACATTTAACAGAAAAACATTACAGGAGTAACACGGGTAACAGTCAGGAAAAGCACCACGGCTAAAGCCCTATGCCGTCAAACTCCCCACGACTGAGGAGCACCCTGCGTGGAGCTCCAGGAGGGGGGGACCGCGGGGCCTCGGGAGCTGGGCGCCGCCCGGGCGGACGGACAGCCTGACTGACGCTGCTCAGTGAAAGCCAAAGGAAACCAGAAACCCTCTTGGCCCGCGTGGCAGCCTCCAAGCCGGGGTACTGTCGCCGCGCGGGGCCGGGAAGAGCAGAAGCTCACGTGGTTCTCCCGCGCACCGTGCACCGCGCACCGTGCACCGCGCACCGCGCACACGGGCCATTCAGGCTGAGCCCTGCTCTGACGCCATGCACTGAAGGAGCCACCATGACGCGGGGGGGGGGGGTGGCGGAGCCAGTGGGGACCCCAAAAGGGAAGAACACACATGCCAACAACAAAGTGAAACTCTAAAACCGATCTATAAATTCAACCGGATTCCGAAAGTCCAGGGGAAAGGCAACGGAACTGGAAGAACCAAAACAAGGCTTGAGGTGAAGCTGGAGTCACTACCTGAGCTCAAGGTAACCCGACGCTGTGGCGCCCAGGCCCGGGAGACGGAAGGGGAAATCCAGAACCAGCCCCACACGAGCGGAGCAACTGCTTTTTGACAAAGTTGCAAAGGAAGCCCATGTAGGTACAACGGTCTTTTGCGCAAAGAAGGTGGCTGGCGGGAGCCCACAAGTGCACGGCCGATGGGCAAGACTGAAGTTTCTTGCCCGTTAAACACACAGCCACCGTACGACCCTGCACCCCCAGTCCTGGGCGTTTACAATGCTGGCCTGAGCCTCCCGCACGCCCTCCGGCTGACGCACGCACACAGACCCTGTGGTCGCCCGAGACTGAATGTTCCTCAGCGATCAGACAGACCCAAGATTGGGGACGCGGCTGCGTAGCAGTGTGAGGCGGAAGGAGCGAGCCTGGAAGGCCAGGGGCCGCGGGGGGCCGCGGGGGGCCGCAGGGGGCCGCTCCCGTGCCATCCTCAGAGGCCCCAGCCTGCCAGGCAGGGAGGGACCGGGCACCAGGAGGGGACTGTTTTCAGTCTCGCTCAAAGTGACCCGGGGCTCTGCGTGTTTGTCTAAACTCACAGAAGTGTCAACAGGTAAGAGTGAATTTCCCTGCAAATTAAAAAATTTTTTAAATAGAAAGATAAAAAAGGCAAATGCAAAATGCCTAAACCCCTCCCTAGAGTCAGACACTGGGCGCTGCTGGGACCCACTAGCCCAGCCGGGAGGGCAGGCCAGGGCTGAGCTGTTGCAACAGTTTCCAAGGATGAAGGCTTCTGCTACTTTTGTTGTTTGTTCTCTGGAGTTACAATGTTTCTTTGGAAGAGAATGAAACTAGCTTACCTGTCCCCAGAGACTGACCTTCCCTGACCTCAGGGAATGGGGGGGGGGATCTTTAAAGAAGGTGAAACAAATCCCTGTGTGTTGGTATTTGCCTTTGAAAGTCTGTTTTTGCAACCTAATTCTAACTTAAATGGCGTTGATATTCTAAGCCACTAGGAAGGAGACCGGCGCCAGCCGTGGGCAGAGCAGGACGGTGGTCGGCCAAGGCCGGGCTGAGTCCACCCAACTGCGGTTGCCTAGGTGGAGGGAGAAGAAGGAAGCCGTCTTACGGTTCCCTGTGGACATTTGCTACAGACGAAAAGAAAAAAGAGAAGGACAAAGCAGACCTTCGTCACGTCCACAAATGGGGGTCAAGCCGAAGTCCGAGCTGCCCTCTGCAGACGGGCTGACACCAAGATCCGGAGGTCCCTGTGTTACTGGTGACCGAGGTCAGCCTCCAGATGAAAGTCCTCCACACAGAGCACCACACGGCAGGATGAAGAAAACAAGACTCGGTCCCAGGACGGGCCCAAAGGGGGGCCATGCAGGTGCGGCTCCCTGGCTGTGAACGTGCACCCGCGGGTCCCACAGAGCCACCACCACCGCCTCCCTGGGATGCCACGTGCCCGACTACACTGCGGTCGGCCTGGAGCTGGTGGGAGAACTGGATTCTCACGTTGGAATGACTCCTGCACTCCTGTTCATGCCTGACAGCCACCCCAGGCTCCCCAACCATCATGCCAAGCGCCAGCCGTGACACCCAGCGTCACAGAACCGTGTGAGCCCACATGCCTCTCACAGACTCATCTGTGCCCCACCCCTTCCTGAAGACAGCAGGCCACGAGCTCCCCTTGACTGCCAGGCCCCAGGCTGCAGGCTCATCAGGAGTCAAACATGTCTGCTTCCAAACCTACTATGCCACTTATACTTGTTACTGAGTCAAAGAAATATTAAAACAAAAAAGTAGTTCAATAAAACCATCTAAATTCTTAAAGTTGACAGATACCAGTGCTCAAAGAAAGCAGAAGCAAAAACAAGACAAAACATTTGAGCCAAGGTAAGAGAACTAAAAAGATGGGAAGAACAAGCATCTGGAAGATTCTGCATCTGGCTGCTCTCAGTCCTGCTCAACTTGGGAGAGAACAGATGCTGGAAAACAGACACAGGATACGGAGTGTGGCTTCGGTAGGCGGTGCAGACCGTCAGTCAGTGGGCTCACCTCGTTCAAAGCAAGGACGGGACACACTGGAACCAAACGATAAAACCAAAGGTAGGGAGATGAAGGCGCATTTGTGTTTCACGTAAAAACACAGGCTTATGCACACACACACCTGACAGGGACCGGGCTTTCCCTGACCACTGGTCAGCAGTCCGGAGTTAGCCACGGCGGGCAGGAAGCCTTCTCCTGCGTTAAGGCAAACTCCCACGCAGTGGGGGCGGCTGCATTTGCACGTGTGTGTGCACGCGTGTGTGTGCTCACCCTGCTCCGGCGGAGACGCAGGGTGGTCCCGACGATCGCCTCTGCCTCACAGAAGGGTCTGGGCCTGGAGACGAACTCCGGGTCACTCTACATCTTTCAACGCAATTAACATATTTTACCACGTACATAAATTACGTTTACTTTATACACTTCTGTTTTTTTAAGAACAAAAGACCAGTCAACTTTTAAGAATAAATGAAAAGGGAAACAAAAGCAGATTATGTTGGTGGAAACACAGTAACACCAGAGTGACGCAGGGATGGCCGTTAGTGATCCCTGGAGGAGGCACACCATGCGCTGGCCCCCAGGATCCACAGGGCAACACGGCACCAGCCTGAGCCCCTCCCAGCCCCCGCCCCCCAGACCTCCTGGAATGAGGCCAGCTTACCTGAGTGCTTACCAAACCCTCCCCGATCAGTAACAGCCCCGAGGAGGGGCCCCAGCAGGGGAGAGGCATGTTGGTGGGGGGGCCCAGTGTGGAGCAAGAGCCTCCCTCCTCCACGAGCACTGTCCTCCCAAAATCAACCTGCCTCCACCAACCCTCGTGTTCAACTGGGCTATGCACCGGGACCACCTGGGCCCTGTTCACGAACCCCTTCACAAGCAAAAATTGATCTTGTCACCCCCTTGCTTACAAACCCTTACAAACCTGCCCGGGTCACGTGATGCAACCCTGGTTCCAAGTCCAGCACGCCCTCAATCCATCCCCAGTGCTTGTCACACGGCTCTGTCCCTGCACCTGCCCTCCGGCCTCACCCCTTCTCTGTCATTAACATCCTATTTCAGAAAGTCCCTAATCTTAACTCCTGGAAGCACACACCTACCAACGCCCTCAGCCCCCACCAGCAGGTTCCACCAGCCCTTTATCCGCAGCCTGGGGAACAGGGCAGGCAAACACTTCATTCATTCATTCAACAAATACTGAAGCAATTATAGAGACCAACCCCCACGGCAGGGAGGGGGCTTGTGATTCCAGCAGGAATACAGCAAACCAGATATGCACCAGTTACCCAGCCAGAGGGCAACAGAAGCAGGGCGGTCGGGGCAGGACTGTGTGGGTGTGTGGTGTAACAGGAAGGACCGGCCATCCCAGACAGGAGCTTGGGAGGGCCTCCTGGAGGCGGCATTCCAGGCAAAACCTGGAGGAGGGGAGAAGCTCAGAGTGAGGCAGGCCCGGTGGTCCGTGGGGACAGGGAGGGGGCAGCAGCTGGAGTGAAGTGGCTGTGACCCTGAGGGAAGCCGGGAGGGAGGGCTTCACCGCGGGTATGGGCCAGGGGAGAACCTTGCTCACTCCTGAGAGCAGGAAAGTGGTTTTCTTGCTAGCCAGCCCCCGACCCCAGATCTGGTCCCCTGTTTGGAAGGAAGGCCACGGTCCCCACCTCATAGGGGGGGAAGGGGCTCCTGCGCTTTACTAGGGCATGTTCTAGCGAGTTCGAAGCCTTGCGCGGCCAGCTGAGGGCTCAGGGAAGCCGGGCCTCTCCTCGCGCGTCTGTTTCCGACTCACCTGTCCCACTCCTCTGGACACGACTACTCCCCTTCAGAAGTTTAGACCATTTTATGGCTCTTCTAGTGAGTATCACCAAGTAGGTAGAAAAAAACTCTTCATAAGCTGCATAATCGAAGTCTTCGGGCCTTTCAAACCCGTACGGATCAATCCTACAACCCAAGAATACAAAGAACCTGTAAGCCCCAAATAAAGTTTCGCGCGCACGTGCGCCCCGCGGCCCTGCCCAGGGTCCCCGCCGGGACGAGGCCGCGAGCGCTCGTGGAGCCAGGGGCCGAGCGCAGCGGGGGACTCCGGCCCCGTACCCACAACCCCAGGTCCCCATCCGCACCCCAGGCTGGGCGAGGTGCGCCCCCGCCCCCACGCGCCCACCTGGGGACCCGGTCCCGAGCGCTCCCCGCGGACTCCATGCCAGGAGGGTGGGGAGGAGGCTCCCGGAGGCGCAGGAACCGTGGGGTCGACGCCTAGGGGCCAAGGCAACCTCCGGGGACCGGAGCGCGTGTCCTTCCGCCGGGCCGCGGGCGCGGGAGGCGGGACGGGGGGCGGGGCTCCAGGGCCAAGCAGGGGAGAGGGGCGGGGCGGGGGCGGGGCCGCAGCTGCACCTGCTCCCGCGGCCCCAGCGGAGGGCGGTGTCCGGAGCTGCTGGAGCCGGGAGCGTGGGAGGGGTGAGGCCTGGAGGGAGGGGTGCGGGATGGGAGGCTGGGGCGGGATCGGGGCGGGGGGTGACCCGGGGGCGGGGTGGGGCATGCGGGGGGGCATCTGGGGGCAGGATGCGGCGTGCGGGATGAACCCGGGGGCGGGATAGGGTAGGTTGGGGGTGGGAGGCCGCCGGCACGGGAGATGGGGTTTGGGGGGGCACCCGGGAGGGCGATGAGGTGTGGGGGGCACCCCGGGGGAGGGATGCGGTGCTTGGCGGGGACCTGGGTGTGGGATGGGGTGCACACCACCCACCCCCAGGCTGGGTGGGTCTTCAGGAATCCCCCTCACTCCCTTTAGGCCTTCTGGGCTTTGAGCCAAGGTGGGAGATAAATCCAGTTTGGATTTCTCGGAGATACCTTCAAACCTCAGGGCCGGGCAGGTCCAAAGCTCAAAGTTCTGACCTATGACCCATATTTTTATTTTCTTTTATGCAGAAAAAGAGCAAGTCTTATTTTTTACCTGCTCTTTTTCAGGCTACAGCTGCGATCTGAGAACAGCTATTAATGAGATTGTAATCTCTGCACCCACCTAGGGACCTCCCCCATTCCTTCCTGTGTCCCCACAGCGGACTGGGGACAGGGGCCCTGGGTTCCAGCCCTGCCCTAACTCCCTGGGAGCCAGACCTGGGAAAATCTCTGGTTGGCTGGGGGGGTACAGTGCACTACCCTGTAGGATTGCCCCCTGGGGTGACGTGGGGTTAACAGCTCAGGGTGTACTCTGCTCCCCACAGGAGGCAGAATTCGGGGCTCCGTCCCCGGCTGCCTCTTCTCAAACTTGTGGTCAGAATCTTGGGAGTGGGAGTCAAAGACAGGCGCTGTTTGCAACCCGGGAGAATGTAGGCACAAGGCTTTATGTGCTTGTTACTCGGACGGAGAGGTGGCAGCCACCCCCGACACTCCAGAGCAACCCTGGTCCCCGGCCCCATTACTCTGTCCTGACATCTCAATATTGTGGCATGAAAACCATGTCTAAGCTGCTTGTCAGATTGGGGAGACCACTGAAAATTTGCCAAAACAGTTGTGCACTTTGGTTTAGAAATGTGCTAAAAAAGGGAGGGGGTTTAAGATACTTTTGTAGGGCACCTGGGTGACTCAGTGGGTCAAGCGCTGCCTTCAGCTCAGGTCATGATCCCGAGGTCGTGGGATCGATTCCTGAGTCAGGCTCCCCGCTCAGCGGGGAGTCTGCTTCTCCTTCTTCTGCTGCTGCTCCCCATGCTCATACTGTCTCTGTGCCTCAAATAAATAAAATCTTTAAAAAAAAAAAAGAAACCTTTGTAGCCTCAGCCCTCCTCATCCCGAGTCCTTTTTGACAAAAGGGGCCCGAACAGAAAGACACCTTCTCTGTGTGCAGGAGCCCACTGCACCAGCAAACAGCCTCGTCTGAGGACCTGACTTTCTGGGTGCCTCACGCATTTTCTCGTGGGAAGTGCCTCCGGGCCACATCTAGACGTGGTGAAGACGTACAGCCCCCACTGCAAGTCTACTGGGGTGTCGGTGGACCTGCTGGCACCCGATGTGTTTCAGAGGCGGTCCATCCTGGAGAGGCCCTGGAAGGAAAATGTGGAACACACCCTACCCGCAGCTGGAGACGTCCGTCAGATGTTCTTACGCTTCTCAGGACCCAGGAAGACTGCAGGAAATTTAGCGCTCTGAACCTAGCCTCAGAGGCCGGTTCTGCCAACGGTCCTGGTTCCAGGGAAAGCCTTCAAGCTCAGCTGAGTTCGTTGCGTTTTGCTTTTGAAAGGCAGTGTCCCTTCTTCCAAAGCCCCCTAGTCCATGCTCTGACCTCCTTGGGACACTCAACAAGGGTCCTTTCTTTGCAGACTCAGGTCCACAGATCAGGCAACTTACCCTCACGGCACCTGCCAGATCGTACGGAACAGGACAAGCACCCAGCCCCTCGCCCTCCGTGGCCCTCCTGTCTTAGCCGCTTCCTTTCATTGGTAGGTTGCTACCCGTCAAAGCAAATGACTCCCTGAATCCCCTCCCATTCTGAGTCTTCTTCGGGGCCAAACCCCATTTCCTACTTCCTGTCACCATCTCTACTGGTGAGCTGACACTCCTGGCCCCCACTTCTCTTGTACTCAGTACCTTGTGCCCCCAAACCACCCCGGCTTCCCGCCCACCCAGCCGTCCTGGGACGCTCCTCGTTCCCTTCCCTGTGAGTTCTGCTCCTCTCCTGATGTGGATCAGGATCCAGCCTCACTCCCTACCACACACTTTCTCACAACTGCCTTGAGGAGCAGTGTGGGCCTTCACTCTGATGGCCCAGTGGACACCCAGACCGGGGGATGTGTGCCTTGGACGTGAGCAGGATGGCGGTACCTGACCAAGGGGACAGCAAGCATTCTGTGTGGGGGCACATTAGGTGAGACAAGGAGGGGGCCCCAGGTGGCAAGGATGGCCAGCAGCCAGAGGGTCTGGGGTTTAGGGCTGCTGACCACTGGGCCCAGCATCTGCCCAAGCCCCCCCCCCCCCCCCCCCCGCCGGGGGTGGGCGCCTGCCCCCCCCCCCCCCACGCCGAGGGCTCTGGGTTCCCCGGGCACCTTCACTGGCCAGAGCCCCTCTGCTCAACGCTGACAGCCACAGTTGTCCAGGACACCAAATCCGGCACCCCATGGGCCAGCACCCTCCCGCTCTCCCCAGAGCGCCCCCTCCCGGCGCCCCTGGGAAGGCTGGAGCTCCTGGGGGCCGTTGACCAGCCCTCCAGTGAGAAGAGGGGGGACCCCCAGCCCGGTGTCGGGCACCACCCCATGAGTGCCTCTTCCTGCAGGAGCCCAGGCTCTCGGGGCCTGATTGTAAAAGCTGCCACCGTTTAGAAGTCAGGAAGGGCATCCGAGAACTTTAGCTGTGGGGGTGCCGTTGCCTGGGCCAGTCATGGCTGCCGCGGGTGACGGAGGGCAGAGGGAGCAGCACCTGAGCCCTTGCTCCCTGGAGACTACGGTAGCTGGCCGCCACATGCCCGCCTCCCGCGGGAGCTTCCGCACAGGCCGCAGGGCGAGGGCGCCGGGGGCAGGGAAGGCGGGGTGGACGCCCGCGGGGAGCCATGCTGCTCGAGAGCAGGCAATGCACCCAGATGGGGACCCTGACTCAGAGACTCTGCATTTCTCAGGAGCTCCAGCTGCCGGGGCCTGTGCAACACGGTGACCCCACACTCAACAGGGGCCGCAGGATCGGCTGATTTGGGTGAAAAGAGGCTGGAGAGATGTGACCTCCAGATGCAGCAAGGCTACACCCGTGACGCTCCCGTGTCGTCAGGGCGGAGCCTGGGCCGGGCTGGGACGGGGGGCAGATGGGTGAGGGGACGCCGGAGCCAGGGGTCCCGACAGTGAGGTGACTTTGGGTCCGTGCTGCGCTGGACTGTCCTCCCTGCTGATGGGGAAACAGATGGTGTTTGCATCCCCTCTGCTGACCCCGCTCAGCCTCCACGCCTGTGGTCTCCCCTGCCCAGCAGGGCTCCATAAAGCAAGCTCGGAGGCCCAGCTCTGGAGAAGCTATGGCAACAGCCCCTCGATCATGTTTTCCAATGAAGTACAAAGTCCAGATTTGTTTTCTGTTTGACTGAAGAAGAATATTGATGGGCGAAATAATACGACATCTGGAGTTGGCTTGAAATATATTCCAGCAAGAGAGAAAAGGAAGAGACAGCGGATGAAGCCACAGCAGAGCCATGAGGCTGGGCACTGGGTCCTCGGAGGGGTTTTCATGTCTGAAGATTTCCATAAAAACGTATGTAGCCAGTAAAGGAGTAATGCCGCCCCCCAGTGCGGGCGGGGGGCCCACAACGGGCCCTGTGGCCTTGGCCCCCCACCAGCCTGCTGTGGGCCTGCCTCCTGGTCCGGGTGGGCTGGTACTCAGCCTCCCAGGCCCCCTGGGGTTCAGGGGTCAACTGTGCACACAGCCTGGGCCTGTGGGGCCGCTGCGGCAGGCCTGGAGGGCCCTCCCTACAAAGCCGGGAGGAACACTTGTGGATGCTCTTAGTGACGGATTAAGGAACTGGGCCGGGCGGCGGCGCTATGAGGTCTCCAGTGACCCCACCAAATGCCCACATCTCTGCATCTGAGCGGCTGCCTGGCTACAGCAAGTGTGGGGCCCTGTCCTCGGGACGCTTTCATCCAACAACCCTTCCCATCCCTGCGGGTGAGGTCTGGCCCAGGAGCTGGACTGAATCACCGTCCCGGGACCTCAGGCGACAACTGGGCCTGCCCCTGCGCATCTGGCCTCGAGGTCACCCGATGTGGGCCTTTCTCTTTGGGAGAAAGCACCTTCCCATGACTGCAGTGGGGAGAACTTGGTCCTGGAGGCTGCGCTGGTCCCCAGCTCACGTTTCTGGGCACGTGACCCCGGCCCGGCTGGTCACCTGATGCCCAGAAGGGATCGGGCAGGAGGCAGGAGGGGCTCAGTCGGGGCGAGCGGAGCATGCTCAGCAAACGCTAGGTATCGTGTTCCTCTTCTGGACCCTCCCAGACTCGGGCGCCTCACGTACATTTTCCTTGGAGAGCAGGTTCTGCGTGCCCTGTGGGGAGTCACCCCACGCTTTTTTCCATGAAGTCCTTTACGGAAGAAAAACAGGTTTTAGAGGATGGCAGGTCCACTGTGCAGCCTTAAGAAGAGCTGCAGGGAGCCCAGAATTACAGAGGAAGCGGGTGGCTTGCGTGCGGCTTACAGAGTGAGGGCACTGAGGTTCACCCGCGTTTCTCCTTCTCTCAGTACAGACTTTGAACGTCGGGTAATTGGCACGTTCTGGGCATTGCAAGACACTTACGATTTGGTTTTGGAGACAATTTTGAGGGAGTGTTACTCATAAGCAAGTTTTATTTCA